CCGTGTGAGCCAGAAGAACAAATTCTGAGTGTACTATAAGGGGCCCAACCTCCAAAGATAATTCCACTTTTTTGGGGACCCCTCATGTGTGCATATATTTCGTTTTTGATGAACTATTTTAGAGTCCATTGCAGACACTGTGACAGTCTTTCCCCAACCCTCTTAGTGTCGGCTAAGATATACGTTACAGTGTACAGTTGTCACACTGGAAAATTGAACATTGAGGCAATACTATTTAATATGTAGCCCGTGGTAAAAATGTTCCTAACTTGTCCCAGTAATGGCCTTTATAGCAAAATTTTTGTTTTTTTGAGTTGGAGTCCCACTCCGTCGCCCAGGCTAGAGGGCAGTTGCACACTCACGGCCACCACAGCATCGACCTGCTGGGCTCCGGCGATCCTTCCGCCTCAGCCTTCCAAGGAGCCGGAACTACAGGCTACCACACCTAATTTTTGATTTATTGTAGAGACAAGGTCTCACCAAGTTGCCCGGGCTGGTCTCGAACCCGCGGACTCAGGCAATCCATTCGCCTCGGCCTCCCAAAGTGCTGGGATGACAGGCTGAGCCATGGCCAGCAAATTTTTTTAAAACTTCAGCATCCAATCCAGATTATGTTGTATTTGGTCATCATGATGTCTCTTTAGTCTCCTTTAGTCTAGAAAATTCTAGAGAATCTAAAAAACAATTTCTTCTCTTTCATGGCAGTGATACTGAAGAGTTCAAGTCAGGTTTTTATTTTTGTTGCAGAATGTGAGTAGTTTGGGGTTTTTTGTTCCCCCTTGTAGTTGAGAGTCAGATTGAACAGTCTGGGTAGATGAAGCTGAGTAGAACCTAATTTCCCCTCCATAAAGAGAAGATGGAGACATCATCAGACTAGATGATGGTGTTCCTTCTCACACCTCCTCAGCCTTTGAAGGTCCCATCCTGGAGGTCACCCAGCTTCAGTTTTTGGTCCCCAGGTATCTCAAGAGATCTAGTGGGTGCGGGGCATGCCAGGTTTGAGACCACTCATTTATTAGACGTTTTATGGGCATTTTCTGGACTCTGATGTTCCTCACCCTAGAAAACACATTCCTGAAGAAGCCAGGTCCCGTCTCAGCAGGCTGCACCCTGTTCCAACCCAGAAGTTCCTTGGTGTGTATCTGAATATTCTGGTGTTCCTTGAAAACTTGGCTTGAAGTAATCTAAATAAATAAAAGCACGATGAGTGATAATCTGCCTCTAAAAATATGGTGAAATCAAACATGTCAAAGGAAATGAAGGTATCTCTTCTAATATGTAATGCATCTATGTGTTTTGTTCATGCTAGCTACTAGGCAGTGTCTGCCCACTAAGAGCTTATGGTTTGCAAACGTGTATATTATGACTTTTTTTGAGTTGGGGTCTTACTCTGTTGCCCTGGCTAGAGTGTAGTGGCATCATCACGGTTTACTGCAGCCTTAATTTCCTGGGCTCAGGTGATCCTTCCACTCCAGCCTTCTTAGTAGCTGGGACTACAGGTGCACGCCACAGCACCTGGTTTATTTTATTTAATTTTTTTTGAGTTGGAGTCTCACTCCGTCGCCTAGGCCGGAGTGCAGTGGCACGCTCATGACCACACCAGCGTTGGCCCACTGTCCTTTCACCTCAGCCTTCCAAGTAGCCAGAACTACAGGTGTGCACTATCACGCCTGGCTAATTTTCTATTTTTATTGTAGAGACGAGGTCTTGCCAAGTTGCCTGGGCTGGTCTCGAACCCACGGGCTCAGGCAGTCCACTCATCTCATCCTCCCAAAGTGCTGGGATTACAGGCTGAGCCATCAAGCCTGGCCCTGGTTTATTTATTTTTTAATTATTATTTTTTTGTATAGGCGAGGTCTTGCTCCATTGCCCAGGCTGGTCTCAAACTCCTGGGCTCAAGCAATCCTCTTGCCTTGGCCTCTCAAAGTGCTGGGATTACAGGTGTGAGCCACCCTACCCTGCCGCAAACGTGTACATTAAAGAGCGAAAGAGCATTCTCGATGGAGGTTTGTGTGGGGTACAGTGAGGTCATGAAGGTGGGATTGTTGGGTCAGCCTTGGGAGCAGGAAGTATCTAGACCAGGCAGGATGGAGGGCAGAACAAGTGGATGGAGTGTGTGTGAGTATGTGTGTGTGGGCGGGAGTGCAGGTGGGTTTTAGGCCAGAAAGTGAGGGTACGATGTGAGACTGGAGGGAGGTGGGGACATACTGGACTTTCTTTCTTTTCTTTTTTTAAAAATTATTTAGCTCCTCTTGATTTTTAAAAATAACTCTGTTTTCTTTTATTTATTTTTTTGTTGAGTTGGAGTCTCACTCCGTTGCCCGGACTGGAGTGCCTTGGCCGCTCCCGGCCACCGCAGCCTCGACCTGCTGGGCTCCGGCGATCCTTCCGCCTCAGCCTTCCCAGTAGCCAGAAGTACAGGCATGTGCTACCACGCCCGGCTGATTTTTTGATTTATTGTAGAGATGAGGTCTCGCCGAAGTTGCCCAGGTGGGGCTCGAACCTGCAGCCTCAGGCAATCCACTCACCTCGGCCTCCCAAAGCGCTGGGATTACAGGCTGAGCCACCGAGCCCGGGGACCTTATTTCTTATAGAGATGTTAGAGAGATGCATCTGGTGTGGAGGAGAGCCGGGGCCACGGAAGAGGCCAAATGACCAGCTGGGGGTCACACCTGCTGTGGCCTCCTTCCTGCGACGGTCTCCCTCCCATCTGTGATATGAATGTTGGGAATGGCGGATTTTCCTGCCATGCTGGGAAGGGTGGAATGGCCTAGAAGGTGGGCTCATGTCCCATTCTCTTCCCTGTGCCACCTCCTTCCCCTGCTTCATAATCCGTGACGGCAGAGGGGGTAGCCGGGCCATCCCCATTCTTATGTCCAGTGAACTCTGACTCCCCCATCTGCCGAGGGAAAGATGTGCTTCTTAGCCAGAAACGGAAAATGGGCCGTGTCAGCTGGGGTGACAGCTGGGAGTCTGAGGCCTCCTGCTAGCTCAGCGGTCGGGTGGCCAGGCCAGCGGCCCCCAGCCTTTTTGGCCTCAGGGACAGGTTTTGTGGAAGACAGTTTTTCCACGGATGGGACGGGGCAAGGGGGCATCCTCGGGCGTTAGATTCTGATAAGGAGCACGCAGCACGCAACCTAGCTCCCTGGCAGGCGCAGTTCTCATTGGGGTTCGCGCTTCTGTGAAAATCTAATGCCGCCACTGATCTGACAGAAGGTGGAAATCTGCTCCTCTGCTGCTTACCTCCTGCTGCGTCGCCCTGCTGCGTCCCAACGGGCCACAGGCCAGCGCTGGTCTGCAGCCCAGCCCAGGAGTTGGGGACCTCTGGCCTAGGCCAAGCGCCCTGTTCCGCGCCCCCCCCCCCCGTGCTCTCACCGCTCTCTCTACTTGAGATCTCACTCTGTCACCCAGGCTGGAGTGCGGTGGCACAATCATTGCTCACCACAGCCTTGACCTCCTGGGCTCTCGTGATCCTTCTACCTCAGCCTCCTGTGCAGCTAGGACCGTAGGCACACACCACCACGCCTGGCTAATTTTTAAAAGAATTTTTTTGTAGTGACGAGGTTTTGCTATGTTGCCCAGGCTGGTCTCGAACCCCCGGGCTCAAGCACTCCTTCCGCCCCGGCCTCCCCAAGTGCAGAAATTACAGTCATGAGCCACAGCCCAGAGTCTCAGTTTCATCAAGTTATGGATTAAAGAACATTAGGAAATCTCCATTGCTTTGCGTAGTTGTTTTTAAAACAATGCTTCTTTTTTTCTGTGTATTACAAAAGCAAAATAGAAAGGTACTTAGAAAAAACTTGTAAAAAGCACTCAGTTCTATCACCCGGAGAGACGTTACTTGCATTTTGCGTCTTTTGGTGACACTTGGATTGTGTGACATATTCAATTTTACATCTGGCTGCCTTTTTACTTAACACAGGCATCTTTTCCTCTTATATAGTTTTTAAATGAAAGATAGAAAAGCATTCAAAGGGATCTCTCAGACTTTACCTCTCTGGCAGGCTGGGCTTTTTCTGGTTTTTTCTGGAATCTCTGTACCTGTTTGTTCTCACATCTGCCTGTCTGTCTCTTTCTCTCTGGACATCTGTATTCATCCATTTAGTGTTGCTATGAGAGGATTCCCAAGACTGGATCGTTTATAAAAGAAAAGTGTTTGTGTAGCTCATGATTCTGCAGACTGAGAAGTTCAAGAGCGTAGGTATTCCATCCAGCTGACTTGCTGGGTCAAAATATGGCACTTGCTGGGTCAAAACATGGCAGAGCTGGGCGTGGTGGCTCACGCCTGTAATCCCAGCACTTTGGGAGGCCAAGGCAGTGGGGTGAATGGCTTGAGTCCAGGAGTTCAAGACCAGCCTAGGCAGTATAGTGAAACCTTATCGCTACCTAATAATAATAATAATAATAATAAATAAAAAAATTAGCCGAGCATGCTGGTGCATTCCTATAGTCCCAGCTACTCAGGAGGCTGAGGTGGAAGGATTGCCTGAGCCCAGGAGGCTGAGGTGGCCGTGAGCTGTGATCATCGTGATCACGTCACTGCAGTCCAGCCTGGACGACAGAGTAAGACTCCAACTCAAGACAGACAAAAAAAGCAAGTGGGTGTGTACAGACATCTGACGGGAGAGGGTATAGAAAGCCTAACTTTTCTGCTAACCTGCCCTCACGATTACTAATCTAGTCCCTAAGAAGCGAGAACTCACTCATGTCCCAGGCAAAGCATTATTAATCTGTTCATAAAGGATCTGTCCCTAGGACCCCAACACTCCCATCAGGCCCCACCTCCCAGTGCCACCACATTGGGATCGAATTTCAGCAATGAACTTCGGAGGGGACAGACTCAACCATCACAGCCTCTCCTCTCCCTACCGCTGCATCCACGTTGTTTCTAGGGAAGAGTCTTCGAGAGCTGAAGTAGGTTACAGATCTATAAGGCCGGGTGATTGTGGTAGTTAGTGACCTAAACCCTCCCAAATGTTTTCATGGGAGTTAGGGACGATATGAAGGGAGGACACAGTCGTGTAAGTGGGAAGCCTAAGCCAGCCACATGACCTTGGTCAACTTGCTTGAAGCTGGCATGACGTCCCTGCCTCAAGTTGCAAGTGCCAAGGAAGAGCCAGCAGATGTGGGCCAGCCTTCCAGCTTCAAAATCCTGTGAATCCACATCGGAAGGAACACCAGGAGATGCCCCAGGTTAAAGCCAACTGTGAGGAGCACCAGGAGATGCTTTGGGATAAAGCCAGCTTGAGGACACCATAAGATGCCTCGGGTTAAATCTAAGGGTGTGAGGACACCCTTAGATTTAACCAGCCATGAGATGCCTGGTTAAAGCTAGCTGTGAGTACACCACGAGATGGTTCGAGTTAAAGCTAGGGGGTGAAGATGCCATAAGATGCTCTAGGCTAAAGCCAGCTGTGAGGACACCATGAGATGCTTCAGGTAAAAGGTAGGGGTGAGGAGCACCAGAAGATGCTTCGGGTAAAAGCCAGCTGTGTCTTGAAACTGAATGAGTGGATTACTAATATGCCATAACTAAGCTATTTTTGTTTTTTGAGTTGGAGTCTCACTGTCGCCCAGACTGGAGTGCGGTGGCCATTCCGGCCACCACAGCCTCGACCTGCTGGACTCCGGCGATCCTTCTGCCTCAGCCTTCCAAGTAGCTGGAACTACAGGCGTGCGCTACCATGCCCGGCTCATTTTTTTGATTTATTGTAGAGATGAGGTCTCGCCTGCCCAGGCGGGTCTCGAACCCACGGGCTCAGGCAATCCACTCACCTCAGCATCCCAAAGGTGCGGGATTACAGGCTGAGCCACCAAGCCCGGCATAACTAAGCTATTTTAAGATTACTCTAGGATAGTGAGTGGTGGACTCTGTCTCCTGCAAATAGCAGTAGTTGTTTTAGTAGTAGTAATGAGTTTCCAGGTTCAGAATGTCCTTCACTTGTTTAAGTGACCCCATCCTTGGGTTGTAAGCACTTGGGGTATGGAGCCACGTTGGATCCAGGGGGAGTCTCTGTCCCATCCCTGGCAGAGTTATCTGGGTTTCTGCTTAACAAACCTATGGGTGCCCCTATTCCAGGCCTTTACCAGAAGATTCTGTATGTTAAGCATCACCTTCATCGATTTCTTATGGCCCAGCCTTGGACCAACCTCCACAGATGGAATTGCCACGGCCCCTCTTCTCCGTGGCAGCTCTGTGGACACTTGCTTGCTGATTGCCTACCCGTTGGAGCCCTGGGCTGGGCCTTTTCCACAGTCCTACCTTGTAGCCTTGATCACTTGATCATGGTGGTGTTTATATGCTATTCTTTTTTTTTTTTTGAGTTGGAGTCTTACCCTGTTTCCCAAGCTGGAGTAGCACAATCATGGCTCACTGCAGCCTCAGCTTCCTGGGCTCAGATGGTCCTTCTGCCTCAGCCTCCCAAGTAGCTGGAACTATAGGCGTACACCACCATGCTTGTCTATTTTTAAGTATTTTTTTGTAGAGAAGAGGTTTTGCTTTGTTGCTTTAGCTGGTCTCGAACTCCTGTGCTCAAGCAGTCCTCCTGCCTCTGCCTCTCAAAGCACTGGGATTACAGGCGTGAGCCACCACACCCGGCCTAAGCACCATTCTCCTAACGAGATCCCTCAGTGGACACTCTTGTTGGTGGTGGTGGGTCCTGGTCTGCTTGGACCCCCTTTGAAGTGGCACTAACAAACCCCAGGATCCATGTTTGTGGTGACACACTGAGTCTATCCCCCTTGGCCCTACCTAATGACAAGAGGAATGGGGTGAAGCCCTTCGAAGCTGCTGTGTTCACATCCCTGAGTAACAGAGGCTGTGTGTTAGGAGAGCCATGAAGTGCAGGTAGAGACAGAAACCGCTGTGTTATCCCAAGTCAGCACAGAAGAAGGTCCCTCGGAACCGTCTGGTCTACAAAGCTGGGCTGTCAGCGATGGCCTCTTCTAATTTTGTGATTGCTTCTCCCAGTTTCTCATTTGTGCATAAGTCAGGAGAAGCGGTTCCCTGGCTTGAGTTGTTGTGAGCTTGCACGACGGTGGCTACAGCCCTGAATTTGTCCTCCCGGCTTTTCTGTGAGTTCACGGGGATTCCTGTCTAACCCTGTGTGCTTCGATGCAGGTGGTGCTTCCCACATTCATCCTGGAGAAGCGATCCTTGCTGGAGATGTACGCAGATTTTATGGCGCACCCGGACCTGCTGTTGGCCGTGACCGCTGCCGCCACGCCGGAGGAGAGGGTCATTTGCTTCGTGGAGTATTACCTCACAGCCTTCCACGAGGGCCGCAGGGGGGCTTTGGCCAAGAAGCCCTACAACCCCATCATCGGTGAGACGTTTCACTGCTCCTGGGAAGTCCCCAAGGACAGGGTCAAGCCCAAGAGGACTGCTCCCCCGTCTCCCGCCTGTCATGAGGACTCGATGGCCGACGACCCTTCCCAAAGCTACAAGCTAAGGTTTGTGGCTGAGCAAGTGTCCCATCACCCGCCCATCTCCTGCTTCTACTGCGAGTGCAAGGAGAAGAGACTGTGTGTCAACACTCACGTATGGACCAAAAGCAAGTTCATGGGCATGTCCGTGGGGGTTTCTATGATAGGAGAAGGTAAGCCACGTAGTATGTCGGAATTTGGTTCTTACGCATTGATGTTTATGTACTTGATAGATGATCGATCATTTTGTGTGTGGAGGTTTGCGTTTTTGATTCGTTTTGGGGCTGGGCATGGTGGCTCAGGCCTGTAATCCCAGCGCTTTGGGAGGCCGAGACAGAAGGATCGCCTGAGCCCGGGAGTTCGAGACCACGCTGGGCAACATTGCGAAACCTTGTCTCTGCAAAAAAATTCAAAAAATTAGCTGGGCGTGGTGGTGCCTGCCTGTAGTCCCAGCTACTCAGGAGGCTGAGGTGGGAGGATCACTTGAGCCCAGGAGTTCAAGCCTGCAGTGAGCGATGATCATGCCACTGCACTCCAGCCCGGGTGGCAGAAGGAGACCATGTCTCAAAGGAAACAAATAGACAAAAACAAACCCGAAACAATACAACAAAACTTGTTTTGGAATTGGGGTGGGAAAGAGGGATGGATGGGTTTTGTTGGGACCAGGTCTGGTGATTTCCCAGTGGGACCAAGATGAGGGACTTTTAGCCTGACAGCCACCCACCTGGGTCGTCCCGTGCTATTCATGTGTGTGCGCCTTATGTATACTTTTTTCTTTCAGCTTTGCACGGATTTGAGAGTTGGCTCCAAATCTGTGAAAACACATTTTTATTCATTCTCACCGGCGTTCTGGCTCACAGACAGTGAGCATAACAGTGCTGCCTGTTCAGAACGTGCTCATAAAAATTCCCAAGGCAAATCTCTTGACTCTTTGCTAGAAATTCCGAAACAAGAACTCACTGCCACTGGTGGATTACACGTTTCTATGTTAGCAAATAGCTGTGAATGAAGTTTATTCATTGTTTGAAGAAACCTATAATAATCCTTGTTAAATTCAAGCGTCTGTGTTAGTGGTTCTCTAGTTTTTTTGAGTCATGAATCTCTTTGAGATGCTGAGGCTGTGACTCTTCTCAGAAAAGAAAGAAAGAAAGAAAGAAATCCAGCACAAAATTTGGCTTTCGGTTTTAGGGATTACTTGGCTGCTTGGAAGCCCTTCCAAAACCCCATGAGACAGGAGCACCTTTCATCTATTCCACACATTTTTATTGAGCACCTATAAATGTGAAACATTGTCTTAGGAGACTTGAATACTAGAGTAAAAAAAAAAAAATCAAAAAGATTAATTTTTATGAAGCTTCTATTCTATTTCTACCTAGTGGGGAAATTAGATCAGTGATGTGGTATGTTGGAGTATAAATGTTGTAGAAAAAAATAAAGCAGGGGAGGGGCTGGGCATGGTGGCTCATGCCTGTAATCCCAGCACTTTGGGAGGCCAAGGAGGGAGGATTGCTTGAGGCTGGGAGTTTGAGACCAGCCTGCAACATAGTGATACTCCCATCTCTACCAAAAAAGGAAACTGGAAATATTAAGTCTGGGTATGGTGGCTCATGCCTGTAATCCCAGCACTTTGGGAGGCCGAGGTCAGGGGGAGGATTGCTTGAGCCCAGAAGTCTGAGACCAGCCTGGGCAACATAGTGAGGCCTCGTCTCTACAAAAACAAAATAAAATGAATTAGCCAGGTGTAGTGGCACACACTTGTAGTTCCAGCTACTTGGGAGGCTGAGGTGGGAGGATCGCTTGAGCCCAGGAGTTTGAGGCTGCAGTGAGCTGTGATCGTGCCACTGCCCTCCAGCCTGGGTGAAAGCATGATATCCTGACTTGAAACAACAACAACAACAACAACAACGGGGATGGGGCCTGGGGAGTACAGGGGAGAGCGCTGCGAAGTTGAGCTGGCTGGTGGAGAGACCTCACTGAGAAGGTGACATTTCATGAGGGGCGAGCCTTGTAGAGGGTCAGGGAAGAGTATACCCAGCAGCCTGGAGGCAGGATGGTCCTGGCATGGTGGTGAGGACAGAAAGCCTGTGTGGCTGGAGCAGGGTGAAGGGGGTGAGGGGGGCAGTTAGAGAGGTGACAGTAACCGGGTCACATAGGGCCTCGTGGGCCATTGCTTTGGACGTTGGCTCTTACGCTGAGGATAGGACCAGGCTCTGACCTGTGGTCCACCACGATTGCATATGTGTTGAAGATAGTCCCTGAGAGGGGGTCAACAGTAGAAGCAAGCAGACCAGCATGGAAGTTCCAGAATAATCCTGGCAGGAGATGCAGGGGCTGGGACCAGGTGGAGACGGCAGAGGAGGTGAGAGTAGGAGGAGTCTGGATGTTTTCTGAAGCCCAGAGCACACGAGGATTTGCCTTTGGATGGGACAACGGGTGTGAGAGGAAGCATCACCAAGGTTTTGACCTGAGTGCCGAGGAGGATGGACCAGCCATTCCCTGAGATGAGGAGACGGACAACTGTGGGAGGGGACTTCTTTAGAGGGTGAGCCTGGGGACTCGGTGTGATTGTGTTATGGATTAGATGGCCAAGCAGAGTGGTTGGGTTAGCGGTTGTGTATACAGGCTGGAGGTAATCGGGAGGTCCTGGTGGACGTAAAAACTCTTCATCTAAGGCCTTGAGACTAACGAGATTTCTACGTGAGCACTGATCCCTGCAGCCTTTCAGCCTCTAGAGGTCCAAGGAGGCTGCAGGGTGGCAGAGAAGGAGACAGGACGGAGAAAGTGTTCCCTGCCAGCCAGGAGAAGAAGGGCTGAGGCGCCCGCCCAGGAATGCCGGTTAGTTCCAGAAGGTGAGAGCTGAGAATTGACCATTGGATTTTGGACCATGGAGGTCACTGGTGACCTTGACAGTGGTTGGAGTGGCGCTAGGGAAAAGTCTGGAAGAAATCCAACAGAGAATGGAAAGAGAGGAGTTGGGGAGCGTAACCACAGCGCTTCCTGCCTTGTTGTTGGGGGCAGTGGTCCAACTCAGGGGGAGAAGCCCACTCTTGGGGGTGCACGTCTGGGTTCTGTCTCTGGGCTGTTGGCTGTACCCCCCAAAAGGTTGTCCTCCGTGCCCTGGCAAGACGGTGGCTCCAGAACGTCCACAGATGCACAGCGTCAGTGCCAGGCCTTCTCGGGGCTCTTCCGTGCGCAACCCAGGAACTGCCTGGCTGGTGCTACACTTGTCTTACCTTGCTCTCGAGGATCAGTCAGGATCAAGAAGGTCACCCAGAGGAGTTTCATCCGTTTGTGAAGGAGGCCAGTCAGGAACTCAGCTGTCACCACGATAACCTTGGGCCACTCAGTCTCAGACCTTCTCCAGAATGTGGATGGGGTGGGTCGTACATGCGGGGAAGAGATGGACACATTCCTCTTTGAATAAGCCTCATCACGAATGAATATTATTTCCTCGTAGGCTCTCTGTTGGGAGCGTATAGTATTGCAGCCATTTTTCTTTTTCTCTCTTGCTTTTTTTTTTTTTGGCTGGCTTATGGAGGGTGTTCCAGGCAAAAAGAGCAGAGGCCCTGAGGCAGGCGCGTGCCACCACACCTACTTGGCTCATTTTTTCGATTTTGAGTAGAGACCAGGTCTTGCTATACTGCCCTGACTGGCCTCAAACTCCGGCCTCAGGTGATCCTCCGACCTCCCAAAGTGCTGGCATTATAGGCGTGAGCCGCCACCCCTGGCCGCAACCATTTTTCTTTTTTTTTTGAGTTGGAGTCTCACTCTGTCGCCCAGACTGGAGTGCAGTGGCCGCTCCCGGCCACCGCAGCCTCGACCTGCCGGGCTCCGGCGATCCTTCCGCCTCGGCCTTCCGAGTAGCCGGAATTACAGGCGCACGCTACCACGCCCGGCTGATTTTTTGATTTATTGTAGAGATGAGGTCTCGCTGCCCAGGCGGGTCTCGAACCCGCGGGCTCAGGCAATCCACTCATCTCAGCCTCCCAAAGGCGCGGGATGACAGGCTGAGCCACCCAGCCCGGCTTTTTTCCATCAGAAAAACCCCAGTGCATGACCGATGTGTGTGGCTTCTGGTTGAAAAGGTGAGAGGGATGTCGGAAGTGGCCTCTCTTCCCTGACGACAAGACCGTGGACTCTTGCGGCTAAATGAGAGTTTGTCCATCCTGTGCCCCAGGGCTGCCAGCCGCGCCGTAGGGAGTCGCGGGGCTCAGCCTTCGAGGGGCTCAGGCCGGGAGGGTAAAGGGAGTGAGTACGAGGCTTCTGTTCCTCCAAGCCCTCTCCAGCCTGAGCGTCTCTGTCCGCCCTCGCCTGCTTGCCGGAGGCTTCCCTGTCAGGGTCCGTTTCGGAAGGGCTCAGTTGTTCAGAATGCTCAGCTAAGCTCTGATGCGCCCGGCCGCCCTCGCTTCCCAGATGAGCCTGCGAAGCAAGTGGTCCACCGTCACGGGCGCGCCTCCCAGCACCCGTCGGGGCCTCTCCACAGGCCCGGGAGGAGGGAGGCCGGCCAGTGCTGGGAGTCTCCTGGAGCCAGGGGCCGTCTCTCATCAGCTCATCTCTGACCAGTGCCTGAGAAGCCGGAATCTGAGAAGGTTCAGGGCGTCCCTTGAAGTCACAAGGACCGGAAGAGGGGCAGGGGTGAGCCACAGCTGGGGGTCCAGCTGGGGGAGACTGGCCAGGGAGGGTCGAGGGCCCCTACCGGCCGCAGCCAGGGCTGGTGAGACCGTCTTGCTGAAGCCGAGAAAACAAACTTGATTCAAGGGTGCTCCAGAGGGGCAGGGCCAGAAGAAGGAGATGGGGTGTCCCCTCCCAGGCTTCCTTTCTGACCCTGGTGACAGCTTTGTCTCCTGAACTCTGCCTTCTTCCGGAGGGATTCCGGTGGCATGGGCTGTCCACGTGGCACTGTGCGGTTCAAGCCACGTGGCAGCTCCCAACAGGTGTGTCTTGGGTAGGGTTCTTGGGTAGTTTTTACCGTGAAAAGCAGGGGGCAGGTTGCTGAGGCCTCCCCTGGGGTGAGGAGAGGCTTGTGTTTGCGTTGACTTGTGTACTTGGCTTTGTTTGTAAGAAGCGGAAGCGACATTAAGCTTAATCTTGCGGTACCTGGGACTGTGCGTGTTTGTAGGTTGCTAGCGGCCTGCCTCGTGCCTTGAGGTTTGTGCTGGCAAAAGTCTTTCCC